AATAATTTAAGTTTGTCTTTATGTTCATCTGCAGCCTGTCCCTACACCCAGGAAGAAATATACAGGTGATAATCCTCCATCCAACCAGCCTCCCGAAGTCCCTTTTCGAGACTGCATGGCTCTGAAGCAGAATCAGGCTGTCAGAACAGGCTCTGCTCCTGAGAATCTGCCCACGTTTGCAGGCTCCGAACAACCGCCCACTACCAACAACCAGCAAGCGAGGAATCAAGAAGTAAAGCCGTCAGTCGTCACCAACCTAAAGAACTTCAAGAAGAAATTCCAAAAGAAGAGGGGCCCGTTGCAGGATAATTCATCCGAAGAGATTAACACTGACAGGGGTGAAAATGATGAGCACGAGTACCAGGAGATCACGGGGGGGTTGACCTTTTGTGATCCACCACTTTCCTCCAGCTGCACTCCTGTGAAGCTGACTAATGACATGTTACCCTTAGAATATATGCCACCTCCACCTTTTGCTCCAGGCTACGGACCCACATGAGAAAATAGAGTGCATGAAAATATAGTGAATATGGACAGGTGATCACCTGAAACTATAATAAACAAGTGAGTCAAGTCAAGGAAGAGGGTTAATGTGTACATGTATGCTCATCTTGGCAAAGGAGAGGAAGTGGTAGGCTCCATGCTGGAAAAAATATTGCATTCGTCCAGCCTTTATGATCCTTTATCTTTATGACTTTTATTCGCCTAAAGAGAGGCTTAATGTCAAAGCATTGCACCAGTCTTTCATTCTTAGGATGTGTCTACAACTGGCTAATGCAGACACTGAAACACAGTGAAACAGCTAGACTAGACACAAAATGTGCCTATCAGTTTCTTTAAAGTTTACTAATTAAATCATTCCGTGTGTTTTCTTTTTTCCTCCCTGTTGTATAAGATAACAGAGGTGGGATAGCTGCCTCATCCTGTTTTCTGGATGAGGCTTAGCTTAGCTTTATGCTAAGCTAAGCTAAGCTAAGCCAACAGCTGCCACAGCCTCATAATATTCCTCTTCCTTTAACATTTAGATCGCAAGGAATATTTATTATGCATAAAATTATATGATAGATTAAACTGCCTCCTTCATGCAAATGTATTTAGTGCCAAATTATATATTCTTTTTTTTTAAAAATGTTTCATACATTAAAAATCTATACAGACAAAAGGTGCCACATTAAAATGAATAATGCAATAAATTTGTTACATAGATGTCTACCGGAAGCCAATTTTCTGCCATCTTTGCATACATGCTTTCAAATTGAGGTTAAAGTTTTTCATATACTTATTTGGTAGGATATTAAAGTCTTAACATGCTCAGGGGAATTTTGTAGCATATGCAAATAAGAAATAACAGCTGCTTTGAGTAAAGGTGGCATGCTGCTGCATCACATGCAGATCTCTGATCAGAAGTGTGATAGAGATGATTTTTTTTACAGGTGGAAACATACAGCAGTGCGCTCTTAAAAACATTATTTTGATTTTATGGCAAATAAAATTATAGCTAGCTAGCTAAAAGAATACAGAGCTAGAAAAAAGCACTTCTAATGTTCATTCTTTATTTCTTGATGCATGCTCAATCAGTAGGTTTTGGTCAGTGGTTGTTGATCAATGGTCATGAGAATTTGCATAATTAAGATTAAGGAACTGACCTCACAGCCCGTTGTTCCTTCAGTGGGCTGGTTTCAGTCATTATGCAAATGTGCTGTTTATAAGATTGGAAACCTGCAGTCAGCTGAGACTGAAGAAGTCACTTGGATGAGTGACGAAACGTTTCTCCCACAAAACGCTACGTCCAGATGAACAGAATCAACTTCTGGAGATTCATGCTTTATTCATCATACATATGTCATCATCACCCAGTGATTTATCTAGCCTGCAATCTTTATTGCATGACGCTCCCTCTCTGACCTGGTTTTTTTTTTTTTTTTTTTTTTTGGTCGTTGGTGTTTCAGATCATAAAGGGTGCACGTAATCCCTCCACACTGTACTGACAGAAAAGTCTTGTATCATTACGGACTACCATCTAGTGGCAGCAAAACACATAGGATGCTTGCACAATAAGTAGTACAACAGTGTCAACGTGTCTGGCTTTAAATGGTTACTATTTTCGTGTTTTACTTTAATCAATCAGAAGGAAACATTTACTAATAGCTGAGACTATTTTAAACACGTATATACTCACCAGCTACTGTATGAGTCCTGTAGCTGTTATATGATTATTATGAGCTTGTGTAAGAGAAAAAATCAGCTTAACAAAAGCAATAAATCTCAAATATCAACATCTATATAACACTCATAAATATTTATAAAAATCGTTGGGGGGGTTTGCCTTGATATGGAGGGTTTTTCTAAATATTTTTTGTTATATTGTTTTCTAGAGGAAATTGTATCTATGTGATTGAGCGCAAAAGTAAAGTGAAAAGT